AATTAATTAATTCCTTAGTTTGATAAACTTACAAGATTGATATCATATTTTTTCTTTTTTCTTTTCTTTTTTAAATGGATGAGGAAATTGAAGCTTAGAAAAGCTAAATAACACATTGGAAGTCATACCAACAATTACAAAGCTACTAAGAATGGGGCTGGGTGTAAGCCCAGAGTCCTTGATTTGAATGCCCACACTTTTAATCCTAGGCAAACAGGTGTATGTCTTTCCTTGCTCTCCATATTAGGGGACTGGAGAGACCTGAGCATGTTGGCAGCAACTTGGAAACACTTCACTTTTATTTCCAGTTGGATAAACTTTCTTTTCCAAATTCATTATTTTCCTTATTTTCACCTAGCTAATTTTTGTTCTTCATATACATTCCTATTTATTTTAATGATTGCATGTGATCAAAAAGGAAGTAATTTCATTCAGTGTATTACAACTTTAAAGATTAGGCATCAGTATAACATTAAAATTACCCACCTACGTCCCCCTCTGAACCTCCTGCCTAATGAACACGCAGGCACCTCCTTATTGCTTAGAATTGTCACACTACCATCACCCCACCACTACCATCACCCCAACATTCTGAAAGCCAAATGTATTAGTATGTCAACTCTATTCTGTGCCAACTTAAATTTTCTCTGGTGATTGATTTATTCAAACCATTCAGTGGGGAAAGTAAAGGTGTGCAGAACACAGGTCCTCACTGGAGCAGAACACTCTCCTCATTTCACCTGTTTTCTTCCTTTAGGAGCATTTACAAAGAAAACAGAGTTCTTGTTTTCTTTGCTAAGTGCTTGTTTTATTTTTTGCACTCCTCTATTTTGTATGTGGTCCACATGTTATATCTTGAGTCAACTAGACTTTACCTCAAGAGGAAAAAATTGTGGCTGGTAGTGTGTGATATGAAGGGGACAGTGCTTTCCCTACCCAGAATTGCTTACCATCTTCACCTTGATTGTCACATGGCAGAGAGCAGTGCCTGACCTTCCTTTGTGAAGAGTCCTGACTCTCCCAGATCTGCTGCCAGCCTCTCTTCCCACACAGCCCCAGTAGGTCTCACCCTCCTTTATTTCATGATGCTAGCTGAATAAATTCATTTAGAAGGTAGCTTTGTTGTCTTTTTCATTACCTGATTATGCTCAGTTTAAAAGTTTTTCTTATGTTATTTTTTGTTCTATATGTATTACTTTAATTCCCAAATAGAATAAGTTCTTTGAAAATAGATTGGCTTTTTCATATTATGTCTAACATTTATTTGCATGTATTCAAAGAATAAATTAAATAGAAAGGAAAATATCAAAAGTGGATAGTATTGCTGGATGTTAAAAATATTTTCATATAATGGGGTCATTAAGTCTTGTTAAGTTAGAGGGAAATAAGCTGAACTGGGATACAGACTATTAAATTTTCCAGGCAGTTCCTAAACATTGGAGTAGTATCAAATTTCAAATCACTTTGAACAGTAATAATAGTAATAGTATTAATATAGATTTGTACATACTTGGTATGTACCAGGTATTATCTGAAGGGCTTTGCATGTGTTAACTCTCTTAAACTTCACGATGATCTATAATTACATACTTTTATTATTCTAATTAATGGATGAGAAAACTGAGGCATGTACAGGTTAAATAATTTGCATAACACTAAAGTAGCACACCTGGGATTTGAATCTGTCTGTCTGGCCTAACAGTCCTTGCTTTAATTGCTAAATTCTAATACCTTGTTTGGCTTATTATTTTATTTATGAACTTGAAAATATATTCTTGATTTATTTCAACTCTATAAAAACATGCTCTGTGTTATCTTTAATTTTAAAAATAACAAAAATTCAATTTAAAAAGAAAGCCACTTTTTAAGGTTGATGCCTGTTGCTAAAGTAAAAGAAAAGACCACAAAAATACAACTAGCAGCCAGGTCTGTTAGAAACCATGGCTGGATTCCTGGTTTTAGAAAGTGGAATTGTGTAATTTCCATTGCACCCTGGTCTTTCACTGGGTTGACCAAGAGAGTTTCAATCCACCTCAAGTAGGAGACTTGCTCTTCTTAGCCAGCACTAAGCTGATTAACCAGATTAATGTTTTAAAAGATTGGGTGGATTCAGGTACCTCTACGTGGCCTTGCCCACGTCTGCTGTGTCTAGAAGAGGAATTCTGTTAATGAAGTCAGAGATTTTTCTTGCCATTTTCACTAAGAAAACACTCATTTGGTTGAGACAGTAGTATGATTATGGAATGAAAGGGAAATGACCTTTAGCAGGAACATTCAAAGCTTGTCCATCATATTTAGAGATAGCTCTGAGTGTTGGCTCCCTCATTGAATCCTGTGACAGCTTCTAGATAGAGATTCTACAGAAATCCAACTGAGATGGGCACCATCACCAAGTCCTGGAAGCAGGTAGGAGCTCTGGAAGAGTTCTTTGGAAGATTTAATTCTTGAGTTCTTAAGGAAAGAAAAAATGTTAAAGATAAATTCCTGGTATTATTGTTAAGTCTGGGTGTAAAACTGTGAATCAGTGCTTCAGGGGAAGAGCTGTTCCTAGGCAAGACAAGAGTCCTGTTGAACAGCAGCATTTGATTCAGGAGTCCCTTAAAATGGACAATATCTTCTTAATTCAGCAAAGGAATGAATGGACACTTGTTTTATTCCTATAATTTTACACTACATGTCTCCTGGCCCATCTCCTTGAAGGGTCCTTATATGTATGATAGGATCATGTGTCCTAAAGAAAGGCTGAAATTTGAGGGCAGAAGAGGTTTGATAAGGTGTACCCTTCAGAACTGAAGGAGTTTTTAAAGAACCGTTCAACATCTACAATGAGATGTTTGGTGATTTTTTCAGTATCTTCCATGTATGATTTTTTATATCTTTACACTTATTATTAATATTAATATTTTTCCTGAATTAATTTGACAGGAAAAGGAGAGGGCCTATATGTTTGTGCTTAGAGATTGCAAGTCACTGGCTGGGTTATCTTTCTCTTTAGTCAGACTTGTGGGACAAAATCCCCAAGGGAGAAGCTACTTAGCAGCAACTCTATTTAGAAGAAAGTAAAGTTGAAATCTTGAGGGGAGAGAGAGAGAGAGAGAGAGAGAGAGAGAATGAATGAGAATGGTATAGGGAATCTGTGTTGGCCTGAAGGAGTGTGTCCTTCACAGCCAGAAAGCAAGAGAGCTTCCAAATAGGAATCTCTCCTCAAAGTGTTTTCATAAAGATGACATGAAATTATGTGCACAAGACAGCAGTTGTTGGCCTATTTCTGGAACTCTGTAAAGGTAGTTAGATCTGACCAAGTGTCTCAGATCTTTTACCAAAAGAAGATACTCAATTTCCCAATGTTGGGTGCAAATGAAGAATACTTCTTCACATCCCCACCCCCATGTTTGTCTCACTCCAGCTCTTTCTTTGGGGCTCCCAAATATGAGTGAGGGCTTTCACATATAAGCCAGGGCTCCCAAATACATGAGTTAGGGCTCCCAGTAGGAGTCGGGGCCTCTCCTCGGGGCTGTAGTGCCACATGCTCATCCTCCTGGAGCGCTGCCCACATGGTTGTGGAGTGGCCCACTTCCTGGCATTCCACATCATGTTGAATCAGTGCAGAAAACAGTACTGGGATCCTAACATGGAGGGCATGATGCAGGCTCTGTGAGGCTCCACAGAGCAAATGCTGTTTTAGTAGTTTGAAGACAAATTATCTGTGAAATTAATGAGTTTGAGAAAATACAAAACCACAAAAGCTGCAGTGATTTCAGTAAAACCTTCACATGAAGTAGTGTTCAATGGTTAAATTGCATCTGTCTATCATCTATCGATTTGTGGAAATAATAGTACATGTGTGAGACACATTCTTCAGGCTATAGATGATGTTTAGGGGACATTTTGAAGTAGAGACACCACAGATGAGAATTATCCAAAATGAAACTAGAGGGTTTTCTCTCCCTAACCTACCCCTTCACCCCCTTCCATTTCCCTGCAAATACCAGCACCATATATTTGTTTATCTAAGAGTATTTCTTAGATGACTGCTGAATTTGCTCTAAATTTAAATAGCAAAAAATGTATGCTTACCATGCAAAGGGCCCACGTTTAGAAGTGGTTTCAACCCTGTGGTGGGGAAACATGGCAGATCTGGATGGAAGTGGGAATGTTTCGTATGGAAGACTTCTCACCCCTCCTGTCCCACCAAACCAGTCACAAGGCCGACAGGTTCCCTTTCCCAGGGACTCCAGTTGCAGCGTTCTTTCTGTGCCATCGGATTTCTTCTCATCTTAGATCCCTGGAAGCTCATTTGCATCCTATCCCCACCCCATCCATCTTCTAGCCAGGCAAGTCAGTCTGGGGGCTGTGTGTATTACATTTAATATTTGGGCAATGCTGAAACTTTCTGGCTTAAATCTCCTTGAAACTATAAATGCAGATAAAATACTTAAAATACTAGGAATGCATTATAAGAAATTACTGTTTTATGTCTGGTGTACCATATTATTTTACAATGGAAAAGATTTTGTCAATCCTTTAGATAATATGCATGAGCGTCTTGGAGCTCATCAACATCAAAACACTATACACTTTTAAGATGTGATGTTTATGAATTTCTATATTTCATATTCTCCCAGAAATGAAATATGTGTCATCTAAGTGATTTATCACAGAAAAGCTGTCACATTAGTAGGGCGGGTGCCATTGCCTTTTGGTAAAGTAAAGCACCTGTCGGAGCAATGGTCACCACTGTTTTGAAAAAGCAGACCAGATATGATTTCTAAGAGTAGTCTCAGATACCCTAATGAAGATAATTGCTCTGCAGAATTAAGCTCTTTGACTTCCTTGGAGAAAAAGTCAATAATCGAGGAGCTGCTTATTTTCCTCCAGGAAGTTTATAATGCTGAGTTCTCTGCAGAAAAGAACACTCAGGCAGGTGCCCGGCTTCCCTGGACTGGTTCGTGACAAATTGCTAGGTTTTGTGAGCTATTTTTTCCCTTCCTGTTCCCATTTTCTTTTCCTTTTTCTTTCTTTGCCTTTCCTTCAATATTTTTTTTAAAATTTTTTAAAGAATGTAGATTTGCCTGCTGTTGTTTTAAGAAATGATGCAGAAATCAGATTGTACCCTTCACTCAGTTTCTCCCAGTTGCAACTTCTTGCAAAACTAATCAGAATGTGGATGTTGACACAGTGAAGACACAGAACATTTCCATCATTGCAAGGGTCCCTTCTATTGCCCTTTTATAGCTACATTCATGTCCTTTCCCCCAGCCTGTGCTTCTTAAGAGCACTTTAATGCCAATAGTAACAAAATATTTGGGAGGAGTTAATGTTGATCTTTGCCAGATATTTAATACCCAGGGGACAAAACCAATTCTGACAGGTGCATGCTGCATCTCTTGTCCTGGTATGTTCCTATTTCTGCTCTGCTTGCATTCCTAGGGAGGTCCTTCTGTATTTTTTCCCTGAGTATCAGCTACCATCAGTATTTGACTGCACATCTGCAGAAGAACTCAGAGCAAGTTCTGAGGTAAGTGGTCTTTTAAGAACTCTGAAGGATGACAGAATAGCTTGGATTTAGTCCTCCGTGAAGAAAAATGTAAAATGGTACCAGTGAGAGAACCTAGAATGGCTTAAGGGAGTGAAGATGGGATCTTTATACCGACTTTGTATCAGAATCAACAGTGTCTATGAAATCACATGGGTAGAGCCAGGTGGAGAAGATCTTACAGATGGAGAACAGTCACAGGGATCAAAAGAAATGGGACATGGTGACTGACTCCCCTCTCCCTGACCCAAAATGGTTTCTATTCCATAGATGCAATTCCTCGGTGGCTGGTTAGGAGGGGCTGAGCCGAGGGTTGGGTAGGCCACCATATCAGGTGCCAAGACCACTATTCTGTTTAGAATCAATAAAACATCACAAGAGGTGATGAAGATGATTGTATTTTCCAAGCCTCCTTGTGTATGAGTGGAAGGAACTTTGGTCAACCACCTGAAGTGCAAAGGATGAGCCTAGTTGTCATGCCCCCACCAGTAACATCTAGCAGTACTACACATTCCTCCCACCCAGTAGGGCTGAGGGGCTCCAGGGTGGAGGAGACAGCCAGCGCAGCACAGGAGCGCAGGAGGCCCCTTCTCCACACCATGCTCAGCATCTCTTGTGGGATTGACAGATATGGAAGGAAAGGCTCTCAGTGAAAAGAGCACAGATTATTAATTAGACAAAAGTGCCACATGCCCCAACTGAACCTGGGTGAAATTCCTTGTTTTCCACTGTACAGTCTACTTTTTTTCCCTTCTCCTTTTACCCTGTACTCTCCATGGAACGTCCAGCTCCATTACCTAACTGGGACCTTCCTCGTCAGTGCCCCCAAGAGCTCTTGGCTGACAAATGCTTAGTCACTTCTCTGTCCTGACTTCCCCAGGCTCTCGACCTAACCATTCCTTTTCCCCTTCCTGGAGCACTCTCTCTGCATGGCTTCCCCCCACTACACACTTCTCACTTTCTCCGACTACCTCCCTCTTTATGGTGATTCCTTCTCTGCTTGGATTCTGAATGTCATCATGACTGAGGGTGTGTTCCTGAACTGCTTTCTTCTATTAAATGCCATTTCTGGATGACTCTTACACTAACCAGTGACTCCCAGGCTATTTCTCTAACTTTCTCTTTTAAGAAATCCAGACTCCAGTTGCCTTTAGACAGCTCTTTTTCAATATTTACGATTTTATCATTTAATTTTCTTCCAAGCTTATTTTTTTATCACACATTTTTTAACCATGCTGTATTTATTTATGTAAACCGCTTTAACCCATTTTTCAGTTTTGTTTGCAATGAAGTGAGGTATTAAATTTAGTTAATTAATTTATTTGGATCCAAGCTTAAAAAACCAATAGTATCACTGTTGGCTGGTTCTAGGTTTGTTTATACTAGATACTTGCATGATATAACTCTGTTGGAGGCACTGCATTCTCCAAAGTTAATATCTTGTTCTCTTATCACTCATGAAAACAGCTGGATCAATGCCCAGAGCAGACGAACAAAAAGCTGAAAATATGTTTCAACCAGGTAAGTCTGTCTTCAGTGTATTCATTTATATTCTAAATGACCCATGTTCCAAAGGAGAAATAATATAAATTTCCAAATGTTAGTTTGGAAGGAAATCAAATTTGCATTTACTTATCAA